CCTGGTTCACGATGATCTGATTGACAATTTACCACTGCGTCGAGGTCATACCAGTTGGCCGGAACGGCAGAAGGAAGCAGGCCTGGGTCTGATTTCCGTGAACGATGGCTTGCAGGTCATTATTTATGCCCAACAGCTCCTCTTTTCCGTTTTGGGTGAGACCGTTGCCTTGCGGGAAGTCTGTCTTCAGGTGGTCAGGCTGTTTGGCGACTGTGCTTTCTTCACATGCCATGGGTAGGCCTTGGATATCCCAGCCAACGGCACACCACAGACCAATCCGCAGCCGAATGCCACTGACGAAATGGAGACTCTCATGCCATCACAAGTTGTCAAGCTATCTAATGGGCGATTGGCCGGCATTACCAAGGAACGCGTTACAGTTATTGCCAAGTAGAAGGCGAGTAACTATAGGCTCTTCTTACGAGTGACAGCCGAAATGTTGTTGGTAGGCGCCACATTCGTTGTCTTTTTGTGTGATTTCTTCCTTTGTTTTCATTTTCTTTAAATTGGGAAGTTCGATAACTATCCGATGCATTATGGGCCAAAATTCTTGAAAAACAATATAAATAGTTTCTCTTTCTAGGAGAAATTGCTCACGGCCTACGGTGAAACCCATGAAACATGATAAAACATAAGAAATCATTTTTTATACTTCAGAAAGCCTCCATCGTCCAAGACTTGAAGAAGATAAAATCAACCACTTAGATGCAAAGAAAACAGAGCACCGCGTCGAGGACACTATTGCAGTACCTGATACAGTAATTGGTACTTCATAAGGTTTCCAAAGACTTAATGTTTCGAAACTACATAATGTATACATTCTCTCGAAAGAAAAGAACGTATTTCCCTACGGAATGAGGAAGAGGTAACATAGTTTTCAGTAAATTCTGCAATGGATTTAGATCATGTTGTATGCTTTATAGGCAACATAAACCAATTGTCTAAAGGGCCGAATACAGTGTCGTGGTTTTTTGTACCAGATTGTCGCGGGAGCAACCACAAGGCCTACCTCTGGAACCTCTTCGCCATGTCCGAGAAAATGATGACTGAAAACTTCCGGCAAATTTTTCACTTCGTCATTATCTAAATGCAATACAGTGTGATGTGCTCTGCCTCGGTCTTCGACTGTACAGCCGCGAGGATTGCAGCGGTCAAGGATGTGACCTCTACTTTAACCAGACACTC